TTTCATTAGTATCAACAAACAAATGCACTTGGGTCCTACTGCTTGCTTTTTGCAGTTGCAAACTATACAGTGTCCAAGGATCCTATAGTTTTTGTTCTTTCATTTTGTTTAGATTTGACATTTACAGTCATCCTTCCCAAAGAGGAAGATATTCATATAAATAATTCCCGTGTCCCAGAACTTCTTGAGAGGATTTTAATTGATTCATCAGTTCAGCTTAGTTCTTTCTTTCTGAAAAGGAAGTCACCATGTCTCTCAATCTGTTGAATGCAGAGCTATTTATTTATATTGTCCTTTTTATCTGTATATTGCATTTCAAGTGCAAGGAACTTAGGAGTCTCCTTCTACTGTCATGACAAGTGCATGCTTACTCAAACTCTAGTCTCCATCGGTGGGTGGAGGTCATAAGCTAACAAAATACTTTTAGTTTTCTAGAAATATGACCCTTGCACTTCTTCCACCCCCCGCCCCCAAGAATCTCATGGAAAGACCTACCCAAGGATTTTATGTATAAAATCATCTTGATCTGTCTAAACAAATATAACTGGAATGTCCTTTTAAGAATCCAATTACAGTATTAAGACCTGTGTGTTCCATCTTTTCTATAGTATGGGAGGTGTGACAGGTAAGGGAACTGTCATATCCGTATCACATAATTAATTTTGATCCTGTTGTTTTTTTAGTCCCAGACCAATAAAACACAAATACAATACTTCAAAGCATGAGAAAATCAACCCTAGAACAATTAATACCGGAGGTACCAAACGGACTTCTGCACACCATAATTACAGTTAAGAACTTGGCAAAGTTTACTAGTTGCCCATGTTTGATCTTGCAGTAGGAACTCTATAAATCTCTCGGTTAGTTTGACAATTCAGACAATTGTGGGTTATGAGTGCCAGATACTCTGAGCAATACAATAGGCAATTTAACAATGAATGGTATCTTAACATCTGAACACTCAAGCGCAGCTATCACATGGAAGGCAAGTATTTCTATCCATTGTGACCATAATGGGTGATGCCAATTTGAGCCAAAGTAAAAAAATTCCTAGGAAAAGCATGTAAGATGTTATGAAAAGTTCTAGGGACTATCCATGAGGGGAGCCTACAACTGCACCCTAATGGAACTTCCACCATTTGTCCGAAATGGTGTAGGGTTTCCTGCCTGAGCAGGGGGTTGGACTCAATGACCTCCAAGGTCCCTTCCAACTTCATTATTATTATTATTATTATTATTATTATTATTATTATTATTATTATTATTGTTGTTGTTGTTGTTGTTGTTGTTGTTGTTATTATTATTATTATTATTATTATTATTATTATTATTATTTTCAAGGTCTGCACCCCAAGTTCAGTCAAGACCTTATTAGGCAGAGAGATTGTGTGTGTGTGTGTGTGTGTGTGTGTGTACACACATCACCTCCTGTCATTTTCAAAGTCTGCACCCCAAGTTCAGTCAAGACCGTGTTAGGCAGAACTCTCTGCCCTAATAAGGCCTTGGCTGAACTTGGGGTGCAGACCTTGAAAATGTATATATAGTTAGGAATGAAAAGCCACATAAGTCAGGTCAGAGTCAATTTGCCTTTGACAGATTTGCTCTCATTTACATAACATGCTGTGTTCCTGAGGTAAAACTACTGTACAGAAAGTACAAACTATTCAACCTCATTTTAGTCTAGTGCAGGGGTAGGCAACCTTGGCTCTTTTATGACTTGTGGACTTCAACTCCCAGAATTCCTGAGCCAGCCAGTTGAAGTCCACAAGTAATAAAGTGCCCAAGGTTGGGGACCCCTGGCCTAGACCAGGGGTAGGCAACCTTGGCTCTTTTATGACTCATGGACTTCAACTCCCAGAATTCCTGAGCCAGCATGGCTCAGCTTGGAAACCTCTCCCTTTCCCCTCAGCATGGCTGGCTCAAACTTGATAGTGATCACATAACACACTGACAAATGTCCTCCTCTCAGCTTCAATACATGACATCAATAACTGACTCTTACTGTGATCTGATTGGCTTGTTGCCAAAACAAGATGACACCCGATTGGCTCTCTAAACACTCATGCTCATTGACTACAATCAGATGAAAGAAAACTACCCGGTATCAACCTGAGCAAGTTGTGCTTCCTTTTTCTGGTCATTTGGCTATCACTTTTCATAGAATACAGTACAGACAATTGAACAAACTATGTTGCATTACATTCTTGATTAAATTATCTTTCCATTGATATATAATTTTATGGTGCTACTCCAAAAAAAGTTGTGTTATTAGCCATCAAACCTCAAAAATACACTTTTCCCAAAAGGTTTCCACAATTTTGGCCACTACTGTATTAAGCCAGCCAGCGTCACCTCAAGGTGAGATGAGCAGCAAACAAATTTAATAAATAAAAAAATTGCTCGTCACCCACAGAAGCCCATGAGACAGAATTACTAAAAGGAAAGCAAAAGAATGTATAATTTCATTCCCAACCTGCCTATTTTCTACAAAGAAAACTTTCTCTACTTTCTATAAAGTGATTGACTGGTTGCTGGTTGCATTGATTTTTTTTTAAATGTTTTTGAGTTCACTTTTGTTTCGCTAGTAGTTCACAAAATTGGCTGAAAACTGGTTCATTGAAGCATAGAAATAATAATAATATTATGTGATACTAACTGGGCAATAGTGAACAGGTGAAATTACAACTATTAATCCACATGTGCTGTTCTATGTGGAATTGTGACCTCATACAAGCAACTCAAAAAGAAAAACTGCAAACAGGAAATGACAAATATTTGTTTATTTATAAAATTGTTGCCTACATTTGTTCAACTAAACCAGGGGTCCCCAACCCCCAGGCTGCAGCCCACTACTGGGCCGTGAGCTGTTTACAACTGGGTCGCCCAAAGTGGTGGACGAGTGTGCACGCGCATCCCCACTTGTGCGAGGTGAGCGTGTGCGCTCCATGTGCGTGAGATCCACTCACCTTTAGTATGCTATGTATTTTAGATTATGAATCTTGGTCAAATTAAGAACTGATGAGGAGGACGTTAAAATCATTCAAGAGACAAATAAGTACTTAATTTTAGATTTAAAAATGTGGCCCAAACCTTTACAAGAAACTTTACATACACTCATGTACCATTATCTTATTTGCTAAAAACTGAACTTCCATGCTTTTAAAGTCCAAAAATGCAAGGAAGGGGTATTTAAGTTAATAGTCCCCACATCAACTAATATTTATTTAGTGGTTTACAAATGCAGAAAAGAAAAAAAAAGAGAAGGTCCACGATTTGAATGAAGACATTTTGTAGTCTTAACACTTACTGGGTTCAGGAGCACTGTCAGGAAAAGTTCTCCACCACGAATGCTCTTGTCTAATTCCTTGGAGCCACCAGGATACTCATTATAGAATATAGTGTGAGTAAAAAGACCACAGGTCTGGCGAGGCAACACCTGAATAAGCCAGAGAGGAGGAGAAAAATTAAACAGGGTGCTGGTTCTGGCTCGGAAAGGCCGAGACCAACAGATGACCAGAATCCATTTCCTCTACATCAAATGCCCTGGCCTTCAGCTGAGATTCCTAAAGTTCTATAAAAATTTCTACAGAGGTAGAGTGGAGACTGACTGTGATATTGCCAAGAATTGTCTTTCTATTTTCACATTTTTCAAAAGGCTAGAGCTGAAATAGCTCTTTTTCAAAGTAATTTTTATTGATCGTGTAGAATTATGATCACACAATGAGTTGGACCTGAAACGAGATGTATTTGTGTGGGTGTCTCTATTGAGCCAAGCTGTAGTCTAGTTCCTTGCATTCCACTGCCTATCCTGGTGTATTTTCTGTGGCCACTGATTAGGTTCAGTTCTCCCTGTCTCGTGTACCAATCCCATCACCCTTTTCAAAATCTTTTGGTTATCCAAAGCCGGTTAATTAACTGTCTCATTTTGTATGGATGATTCCTAAAATTTAAGCCTAGAGATGTTTTAAATCAAAGAGAACCTCTCCCCTGCTTCAACAGAAAATAATTGGAGTTATGACTTTATTGGTCAAGAGATTGTTACAGAGGACAAGATGGTTCATTTGAGCATTTCCTCTTCCTTCAGTTTTGAGAACTTCAGGAAAGTTGGTTTCCCAACAACGAGAAGAACACTCCAGAATTGGTGGTCTATCTCCTCTAGATAGTTAACAGGGCTCAACATCTTACCATGATTCCGTTATGGATGAACCCGCGTCGATATCGGGCAGGTCGAAGATGAGGATATTCCTCTGTGCTGGTCACCTGAATGTCCCAAACATTTTTCCATGCTTCGTAGAGTTGGGCATGAACCGGATAAACTCCTGAGTGGTGGGGGGCTACTGCATAGCCCATATCTGTGGGGATCCCATGTTCCTGGGGTCAAAACAAATTTTAAGAGTTCTACATTTCATTGTGAGCAATTTAACAAGAAGGAAGAGAAAGGCCACTGTCTATGGGGCAAGACAAGGAATGTATGTTTGCTTGCCGCAAAGTCGTTAAGTAGGATCGACAGATCAGTACAAATCAGTTCCGTTTTTCACCGGCAAATTTTCCTAACATACAGAAGATATGAGAGGGAGGGTGCAACTTCCAGGCCAGATGTGAAATATTAATGGAACTGGAAAGCGTGAAGCAGGATCTAGGAAGAGCACAACACTTAGGAATTGGGAAGAAATTTCATATTTTTTGACAGAGTTCTGTTGTCTGTGACTCAGATGGCACCTGTTTTTTTAAACACTTTCTGCAAACTCTCTCTTACTGCAATCTGTACTATTATCTTTACATCCTTTTCTTAGAACCCAGCAGTGGCCATGTATAAAAACACGTATCAGATGGAAACATTCCAGAAAGTTGTCCCTTACCAAAGCAAACTGCTTGTTGAGTTTCATTTGCTCTGCCAACACGGTAACATTGTGAAAGAGATGTGGCTGCATGTGACTCCACATATGAGGAAACCACCAGAATTCCTTCCTGTTCTTCAAGAGCATGTCATCTCCTTCATCTTCCTCATCTGTACCTGGAGACCCACGGAAAAAGGACTAAGCAAGGGTTGCTGGGTCATTATTGAACAAAGATAAGAAAGACCAACAAGACAAAGCTACTGCACATTAGATCTGAAGAAAAAACAACAACAGCTATTTGTTTTGTCTCCTCATGAGGTCTTTGCTGAGACTAAAAGCTTCTTCACCTGTTATTTTCAAAGAGAGAAAATCTTCCGCTGGTGTCACAGCAGATTAAACATCTGACCATTTGTCCAGAACAGGGATCTTCAAACTTGGCCCTTTTATGACTTGTGGACTTCAACTCCCAGAATTCCTCTTCAGGAGAGGAACATTTTAGTGTGAGAGATGAAAGCCAAAAGAAGGGAGGATCTTGATATTTCTAGATGCTTCAAATATAAATACAAATCAAAACAGAGGATTTTAACCTATGGTGAGATCTTAAGTCAGGGGTCTTCAAACTTGGCCCTTTTATGACTTGTGGACTTCAACTCCCAGAATTCCTCAGCCAGGCGTGCCTGGCTGAGGAATTCTGGGAGTTGAAGTCCACAAGTCATAAAAGGGCCAAGTTTGAAGACCCCTGGTCCAAAACCATTAGGCTCAAAAACCAAGTTCCCTGAGTCAGTTCCAAGCACATTTAGTTAAGAAATCTATAAAAAGAAGCAAGAAGCTAACTGATTACAAGAAATCTTGGCTAAATATTCTAACCATACCAGTTATTTCTTTGTTCGTTGGGTCTTCAAAAGGCCACTCTTATTTTTCAGTATGCAGTAATATGGTTTTCTTTTGAATCAGCAGGCTTATTTATTTAAAACATTAATATAGCCGCCATCTTATACCAAACTCTGGGCAGCTCAGTCAAGGTTGCCTGAATCTAGCCAATTTAGGAGAGTACGATTAAGCCAACTATGATTAAATAGATATGTGAACCCAACCTTAGTTTGCTCCTAAGAAGTGGGACAACTTCACACAGAACAGAAAAAGCTTACCGGTGTGGTAGAATTTCCCAGAGAATCCCAGATTGAAAGTGAAATTGGGAACCAGGGCCCTCAACTTGTTCTGAGTGTTTAAAAGAGCCTGCAAGAAAAGAACAAAGAAAGGCTGAGAGAAACCATTCAAACCAATTTCTTAAACCAACTCACATGATGATAGCAATTCATACCCTTCTCAACAACTTCCTCTTTCATTTCTTTTATCGCATAAACTGGAAGCTCGGGAAATCCAAAAGACACAGCTCCACATCACCACCCCTCTCCCACTTTCAGGCTTCCCACAGCCAAAGTTTCCTCGTTGAAATATACCAGGGTCAGTGTTCCAGGCCAGCTGAATCTGTCTTCTTCCTGGTCTGTGTTTTGATGAGATATTTCTTTGATCTTTAATTGCTCTGGCATTTTCTGGACTTGTGACATCTTTTCTGGTCTACACATTCCGAGCATTTACGACTCCAGTTACTGCACTCTAAATTGTCTCCACAATCATTCTGGATACTTCCCTCTTTTTTAGAGGTTTGCTATTTTGAAATCAAACATGGCCGTTTTGAACTTTTTCAATAACCGACATCTTAAATGTACACTGACTGTAATATCTTGGTTAAGAGTTGCCAAAAAATACATACAATCTAAAAAACGAAAGGAACAAAACGCCCAAGGTCATTGAGTTTCATTTTGGGCATGTTTTTTTTTCTATGTCTAAGTTCAGCATTTGAATAACTACAATTCTGCTGGCTCTCCGTCAACATTTTAATAATTACAATCCACATTCTGAATTATAACTGAAGCTCCATATAGTCCTCTTAGGATGTCTGCTTGTGTGTTGCTTGTTTAAGGGTGGATAACTGTCTCATTCTTTAAAACACTATTTCATATTTAGTGTGCCACTGAGTAATACATATATAATGCATATACATATAATTTATAAGCAACCTCATTTGACTAAAATCCCTTTGATATTTGGCATCTGCATTCTGTTACTGAGTCTTGACATTCCGAAGCATCTGGGGAGGTATGCCTTCAGAGAGAAAGATAATGCTAAAAGCAGCTTAGCAAAGCCTAACTTGGGTTACTATAACAACAGACGTGTCAGTTGATAAATTCAAAGCATTCCCATGTTTCAGGAAACTGCACTGGTCCTACTGATAGGAATCCTCCACCCAATTAGGTTCAAGAACATTCCCAAACAATTGCTCTTTACAGGGTGAATCTTCATTTCACATGCTTCTCAAGATTGGATCTCAAAATATTCACAAGCTCAATCATCAGTCATCATCAATAAAAGTCAGAAATAGAAGATTTCCGCAAGTGATTTGCAGGTACTGTTTATCTTTCTTCTGACATTTTAGTATATCGAAAACAAATCCATACATATAACTGATTTATTTTGACTGAGGTAACTTTCCTAAGCACTATTTATCAGATGCTTCTAACTTCTTTGTCACAGCAGGAAAGTATATTACTTCTAGACCAGGGGTGTCAAAACTCTCAACGTCATGTGATATGTCGCAACGAATCGTGACTTTTTTTCCCCATTGCCGGCAATGGGGTGGGCGCTGTTTCGCCATGATGCATCTGGCCCTTAACGGGCCGGCAGTTTGACACCCCTGTTCTAGGCAATGCTCCATACTTTCTTTTAAATTTCATTATGTAAATATATTTGTTCCTATAACTACATAACTATTATTTCTAAAAAATTATAACCTGATACATATTTCCCATTTTTATTCTTTTTTTAAGAACACGCATAGATTGAATGAAAGCAAAGATCCCTATGTTTTTGTAAGTCCAATTACATCTCGTTTGTTCATCCTCTAGTTTAATTTTATTTACTCTTCCAAGGCTTATTTCAGAATTAGTGTAAATGTGAAAGGAAAGACCCAGTGTTGGAGCATTCACCGCTTCTTGAGCAGGTTGTTCCATTGGTTAACTGTTCTGTCAGGAAGTTTCTCCTTAGTTCTAGGTTGCTTCTCTCCTTGATTAGTTTCCATCCGTTGCTTCTCGTCCTGCCTTCAGGCGCTTTGGAGAATAGCTTGACTCCCTCTTCTTTGGGGCAGCCCCTGAGATATTGGAACATTGCTATCATGTCTCCCCTCGTCCTTCTCTTCATTAAACTAACATACCCAATTCCAGCAACCGTTCCTCATAAGTTTTAGCCTCCAGTCCCCTGATCATCTTTGTTGCTCTTCTCTGTGCTCTTTCTAGAGTCTCAACATCTTGAAAAATGTACCCAGAAATAAAAAAGGGAAAGAGTTGTATCTTTCTCCTTGTCACTTTTTTAGGCTAAAACTGGCACTCAAACAAAATATCTGGGGGGAAGAAATTAGGGGACTTATGAAATCTATCGAGCGATTCTTCAGGAAAAAGAGCAAGGCGATTTGACACCTTTTCTTATTTACTTCTCATCTTCTTCAAATCAAAGCAACAAGATGAGATATAGGCCACACAAAACATTTTCTAAAAATAATATGCAATAGTGGTGGCCGGTTATGCAACTCCGTGTCTCCTGTAAATTATCTTCTGGATATTTTGGCTGAAGATCATTTTTTCCTTTGAAGTTCTCTAGGAACCTGTTCTTCTTCTTGTGCCATATCCGTTATCGGACGTTGGCGATCATGTTGGCAATCCTGTTTTTATCAGCAGCCGCACGAAAAAGTGCTGCTGAGTTTTGTCCAAATCAGTTCCTTAGATTTTGAAGCCATGATCTAGGAACTTGGGCAAGTCTATTTCCCCAAAAAATGGGAGATTTCACTCAACGAATTCCCATTTCACGCCAGTTTCCTTTGTTTTTCCCCCCTTATCAGTTCCATTTTTTTCTCTCCCAATCTTTTCAAACATCAGATAATGAAAAGACAAAAATAATACAAGCAAACTGAGTGTAATGTATATTCTTCCAATTTGCTGCTCGGTGTACACCGGAAAATATGTATTTTTAAAAATTATTTTAACCAAGATGATGATTTGGAAACAAGCAACTAGATGTGTCCCACTGAAAGTAGATGTGATAGTGAGTTAATATACTTACATTTTGGAATTAATCTGCGAAAAACATGCCAACTGTTTTGATACTGGGAAATGTTTCTCCGCTGTGCTTCTCATTTAAGAAATCAACAAACTTGCAAGATTGCCTTTTGTTTTTGTTTTGTTTTTCTTTTGAAAAAAGAAGTTAATCTTTCCACCTTGGCAGAGATTCTCTTTCAAATGCATAAAAGTGAGTATTATCTTCTTAGCATCAAATCCATGCAACTAATGTCAGATTAACGCTCCATTTCACACTGCTAAACTGGTAAACATAAGTATGTTTTAGACTAGAGTGATCTCATCTGAGTCTTTCTGTAATCACCAGAGAAGCTTTACAAAGGAAGGTTAACGTCTATAATTCCACCCAGGACTACCAGGGAAGCGCTGGATTTTCATCCTTGGCTGGGATCCCATCTGGCAGCAATCTGGAGTACTCACAGAAATGTGTGATAAAAACAAAAACAACTGCTCAACAACCCCCACTTAAAAGAGTCTGGGAATTATACCTGAAAGAAGCAGGATTTTTAATTTGAGTTTATGCTCTTTGGATAAACCCGGGGTTTTAGTTAGGATTTTCCAAATCTGGCAAGTTCTCACCATCTTTCTATGAGGACATTGCAGGCTCTCTGCCTTTCTCGCTACGTTCACTTGTTGCACCAACGTCCCCATCCTCGCGTAGGAGGACCACAAATTTAGATCGCTTTAGCAGTCTGGCTTTACGCACGGAATTTCCCGGCTCCTCAACCATGCACCAGAGTTTTATAAGAAAGATGGAGTCTTGTTTTTCCTACTGTGGGAAGTCAGCCCACCCCCCAGAGAAGGAAATAATAATAATAATAATAATAATAATAATAATAATAATAATAATAATAATAATAAAGTTGGAAGGGATCTTGGAGGTCATCGAGTCCAACCCCCTGCTCAGGCAGGAACCCTACACCATTTCAGACAAATGACTGTCCAGTCTCTTCTTAAAAACTTCCAGTGTTGGAGCATTCACCGCTTCTGGAGGCAGGTTGTTCCATTGGTTAATTGTTCTAACTGTCAGGAAGTTTCTCCTTAGTTCTAAATTGCTTCTCTCCTTGATCAGTTTCCATCCGTTGCTTCTTGTCCTGCCTTCAGGCACTTTGGAGAATAGCTTGACTCCCTCTTGTTTGGGGCAGCCCCTGAGATATTGGAACACGGCTATCATGTCCCCCCTCGTCCTTCTCTTCGTTAAACTAGACATACCCAATTCCAGCAACTGTTCCTTATATGTTTTAGCCTCATCCCCTGATCATCTTTATTGCTCTTCTCTGCACTCTTTCTAGAGTCTCAGCATCTTTTTTACATCGTGGTGACCAAAACTGGAACCAACCCTGCCCCCAAGTCTCTCCGTCCCAAGCAGAAGCCAGCTCTGTACAAATGCAGATGCAAACCATCAGGAAAGTTGGAGCTAGAAGCTTAGGAATACAAAGACACCTAACATCTGCATACCCCACTCAAACTCTAGGAGTCATTAGCCCCAATACCAGGGAAGCAGGATATAACCCTTGGGACATAATAGGATTAACCCACCACCATCAAGAATACCAGAAAGGCACACCCAGACTCAGGTCAGAATACATGACACAGGAAATACAAAGCCTGAAACAGGAACAGGAAACTACTTCAAACAAAAGGCTTGAGAGGGTATAAAAACCTACTACTCACATGTACTCAGTCCTTTTTTTCTCTCCCCTTTCCTGCCAGAACCATCTTTCTGTCTGGCTCTTCAATAAACTGCAACCTTCTTTCTAAAGCAGTCACCATGTTGTTTATCCCCGGCTTGGATGAATCACGATGAAGACTTTTCTTTCAACACTACTATACCAAACTTTTGGGAAAGAGAAAGCAGCATAAAGCCACTTCTTCTTCTCCAAAACACAGTGGAATGTCACTATTAAAATTAAACCCTGCTTCTCTGAGTGTGCCATCTTCCAACACCTGGAAGGTGCACCCTACAATTATTTCATTACTTCTTCTGGACAGAAGGATAAAACAAAGCTGACCCTGATCTCTTCATCAGCAACTTAACAAGGGTTCATAAGAGGGATTAAAACAGAACAAAACAAAAAAGCACACAACTAGCAGGATTGACCTGACTATCCTGTTTATGGATTCTTGTATTATTCACCAGCAAAAGATATCCAGATTATTCTATTCCTATCTTTTTCAACAGAAGCCCATTTTTATGGGAAGCTGCATTACAGTTCCTACTATTTTAAAAACAGCAAATGAAACTCAGCTCAGCTCTTAGGAGAGGTCGTTAGGAAACAAACTCTTAAAAGTGCACCACAAGCCATATTTAAAAGGGCTTGAACTTCTCACTTGAAATGAACTTCAAAATATGCTGCTATGTATAAACGTTTATAAAATAGATCATGCAATCCAGCAGATGAATACTTTTTCATACTACTGTGAAATCTTTAACCTCATACTCTACTATGACATAGACTATTTTCTTTAAACCCAATACTATACATAGATTAAGTAGAAAAATCCATTGGGGTTGTTCTCCCTAGCCAATATATTATGGTTTTATCCTGACTGTACTCAAAAATTTAGACGCCTAAACCTACACCTTCTCTATAGGTGGGCAATAAATGTCATCCACTCTGCCATCTCTTAGCAATTGTTAAAAAGGTCTGTTTGTCAGCCAAGCTCTACTTTCCTTCTGAGGATTGGTAAGTTTGAATTTGTAATTCAACGAAGACTGAATGTAGCAAACCCACTCACATCACTGGTACAAAAGATAAATGCAGACTGTTGTGACAGCAGATCTTGTGATCACTTCTTCAACATCAGATAATCATAATTAGGGGTGACAGTTTCAGAACAAAAGACATTTCATCTTTCATTTCCCCCCAAACTGAGGATTTCAGAATTTAAGGAAGGAAAAAAGCTATTTTAGAAAAAAAATAGTATTTTACAAAAAAAAAAAAAAAGTGTTGCAGTTCTCATGTTTAATGGAAAGAGTGAGGATCTATATCAGTGATGGCGAACCTTTTAGAGACCGAGTGCCCAAAAACTGGCCCTGCCCCCGCTTCACCCCCTGCCCCGCCCTGCCCTGCCCTGCCTCCACCCCATCCCCTACCCCGCCTGCCCCCAGGGCCACTCACCGCCTCCAGGGCCCACCACAGATCGCCCAGGCAGCCCAGCAGCACCATGGCAGCCACACCCTCTGCCCGCGCCCTGCAGAATCAACTGTGCGTGATGGGGCGTGAGGGCAGAATCTTGTCTACACTGCCTGGCTGCCATATCCTTGGCTGTGCTGCTCCGCGTGGGCCACGCTTGGGGGCGACTCTCCTCCAGGGGGGCTGCTGTTGAGGAGGGGGTCATGGGGGCAGGCAAGACTGGGGCAATGGCACGTGTGCCCACAGAGAGGGCTCCGAGTGCTGCCTCTGGCACACGTGCCATAGGTTCGCCACCACTGATCTATATCCATTTGAATCTGTTAGTAAAGATACTTGGGGGTCTGACAGTTGTTTGTTTATATTCCCATCCAGTCTGTTCCACATTACCTCCACATCAGACACCTTCATGCGTGTCCCCTCTTTGCCCACAAAGATATCATCAATGTCCACAAGGAGGTAGCGGTCAAGGGTCAGACAGAGACGTTTGCCAGTCAGATAAGCAATAGCATCAACAAAGATGAGCTTGTGCAGCCAGAAATTGAGATTATTACCAAAAAGAACCCTCTGGATACCATCGTGGAGACCGAGATCCTGCACCACGGTGGCATGCAAAGCTCTGTGCATAGTCAGGTGAGGGATTGATTCAGACGATTTGGTGCTGGCCATCAGTACAGGTTCATAGGTTGTGTGATTTGACTGGAACACCGTCCAATCGTCCCCAGGCAGAGGGCCCTGTTCCACTTCGTTAGCCTGGGTAATATAGAGAAGTGGGGCACTGGGATTGATGTGATAATCTCGCAATCCCAAGTTGGAATGTAGGAAGAGAGGGAAGCCTTTGAGCTGAGCACTAAGCAAGCTGTTCTCATTTGCTTTGAAGAAACCGATGATTCCTACTCCGTACTCCACGCAGTATTTGTCCAAAAGATCCCTGTTCCAGGTATCCAGGTTCACATATTTAAGGATATTCTCGTAGATAATAAGAGCGTAGCGACCACGGTCCTTATCCATTAGGGTGGGCATGTCTCCCTTTCCAGGAGCAATCTCTGTCCTGTATTTAAACCGGCTCGATTCTAAGATGGCCACAATCTCTTGACCCAACTGGGAATAAATGCTTTCCACAAAAACTAGTACCACAGGGTCTGTACGCGAGTTGTCAACTGATTTTGTAAGCCTCCAGCTTGCCTGGGGCTGGATGAGGATCCGGTGTTGACTGCTACAATCGCTGAAAGGAAGAGGAGGCGGTTCCTTGATTTTGGGACTGTTAGTGACATAGTAAGCCAGGAAGCACATGGAGACCAGGCTGAAGGCCATCAGCAGCAGAATCAGTCTGTGGAGCTCCAACTGTCGCACATGCCTCACCACTCTCCACAGCTGAATCATGATGAGGCAGGTGGCTTAGCCTTGCCTCAAGTTTGGCACCTATCAAGCTGCCTCGGTGTCTCCAGCGCCACCACCGGAAGAGGCAGTGGCAGCTCACGGAAAAGAAATGTAGGCTGCAGAGGGGAAACAGGACTAAGTGAGCAGCTGCAAGACTAGATCCCCAGTGATCTGCCATTTATCTCAGGTGACCATGGCCTTCAATTCCCATTGCTCCCTTGAGCACGTCCTCCCTTTTGTTTCCTTGCTGGCTGACGAGAGTCCTAGGAAGCAAGGAGGCTGCATGCAATTGTAAGGGAAGTATAGGCTCTCCAGAAAATGAAGCGGCGCCACCAACCGATGAGCTTGCCAATCACATGGTTGTTATTCTGAATTTGCCACCTGCAATGAAAAAAAAAACAGATAAATTGAGGAGTTCTAGAAAGATCAATAGTGCTACAGTGAAATGCCTAGGGTGACCTATTAAAATCACACATTGTTTCTGATATTATTGATAGCGATAAGTGGGACTTACAAAAAATGCTCAGCATTCCAACCTGCCACTCCTAATTTCAGAAAATTGTATTTCGGAACTTCCGGTTTCGGCGGCCGACGAGACGGGTGGAAGAAGCCGGAGCTCTGGCTTCTCAGCCCGATTTCGCTTTGCCCAGCGACCCTAAAGGGTTGGAAAGTTGCCCTGGAGGGGCAACAAAGAAGGAGGGATACTTCAGGAACCCGGACCAGACGGTGGTCGGTCTGAGCGGACTGAAGAAACCCTCTGAAAGGACGAAGGAAAGGCTGCCGGGTGAGCCGTGGCGCTCTGCCAAACAGCTGATTGTCAACAGCGTGCTGAAGCTGGGTGAGCCAGTGTTTTTTCCTTTTCCTCGTGGATTAAAAAAGAGCTAAAAAGTAAAGACCCCAGAAGGATTGAAGCTAAAGGCGGCGAGCAATTACAAAAGGGGAAGATATTTAAGGAATACAGAAAATTCTATTTCATTTCTCCCCTACCAATGATTTCTAACCCTGACAGCATAAGTATCTAATGCCCTCTGAGTATGTTCAATTCTTCCTGGACTTTTCTGTGCTTCATTTTCCTTTTCAAGGTTTCTTCCTGTGTGTGTGTGTGTGTGTGTGTTTCTATTCCCACAACCATCACATTATTTCCCCCTTGTTTTTTGATAATCCTCTTTGGTTTCCTTGATGTCATAATTCAGCCCGGAGCTGGCTACTAGCGTATGTGATGTGAATTGGGAAATTGTCCCTGTGATGTATAAGTAAGGTGTACTCAGAGCAATTCAATTCCTAGCTTCTGGCATAAAAATAATTAAATGTGTCTGAATTTAGGGAAATTATAATGTATAAAATAGAAAAAAAATTGAATAACAGTTAAAGGATTAGATGACTAGGCACATTAAATGGAATATTTAAAGATTAAATATATTTTTAATTACGGTTAAAAAGAATAAGAAATTTTGGGAATGAATATATATTAGCTTAGGAGGAATATATATATTTAAGTAGTATTTTACTTTTTATGTTTCTTTACTCTTGCTCTCTTTTCCTTTTCTTTGCTGTTTTTACCTATTCTTTAAGAAATGTAAAAGTGTTGAGATGGTTTATATGGGAAAAATGGATTTAAATCTTTTAAAGGAATTAACTGTTGAGAAAATCTTAACCAGCAAGAATACTTTGAACTTTATGGGAGAAACAAATCTAAATAAGGACTGTAACAGGATATAAGATGAGGCAACCAGAATGATTAGATAGAAAAAAAATATTATATTGATGTGATCAATATTTCAAGGAATATTGGGGGGAAATCATATATGTAACTGTTAGTTATCAAAATAATAAGAACTGTATTATTTCAAGGTTTGCAAAGAAGACATTTTGGGGGAAAAGGGAAATCAACTAAATGTACTATATGGATTATGGATTATAGAAACCAATTGTTAAATGATTTTTCTTTACAAATGTAAACCCAGCAAACACACTGTTTACCAACTATTAAGTGATTTATGTTTTAAAAAATCAATAAAATATATGGAAAAAAAATACTTTTTAGAAGGTCACTTAATGAATGGGGAAACATGTATACAGCTAAGTCCTCAGCTTATGACCATAATGGAGCTTGCCCACTATGGGCGTAAGTTGTAACCATTGTAACATGGGTCATCATGGGACTGATCCACTTTTAAAGCCCCTTTCTGCAGTGGTTGTTAAATAAATGTGGTAATTGCAAAGTGAGTGCTGTGGTGGTTAAAAAAACTAGTTGTTTGCTACAGGTGTCTTTGACAAAAATCAGAAGCAAACGACAGTTTTTGGCAAAATTGTTGTAAATCACAGTCATTTGACTTCAGGATACTGCAAACATCCATAAATGCCGGCCAGTTGCTAAGTGCCCACAATGCGGTCATGGAACAGGGACACCTGTTGGAACTGGAACATTAGCAAGGCTTTTTTTTGTCATAGAACGCCCAGAACGGAGTTCCGGCATCTTTTTTGGATGGAACCTTGTAGGATAGGCAAGGCGGGTTATATGACATATGTGAGTTCCGGCACCTTTTTTTTTTCTTCCAAAAAAAGCACTGAACATTAGTATATTGGGGGGGGCATGCCATAACTTTGAACGGTTGAAGGACTTGAAGCGTCGAGGATTAACCGTTCCTTATTTCAGAGAATTACCAGATTTTCCACACTGATACCGTGTTATTTTGTCATCAGAGATGCTCTACATTCATGTATCAAGATTAAAATTCTTTTTCTAAAATAGTCACCACTGTAAACTCCGACAAAAGAAAATGAGGAACTCTAGAATATCATCATTACAATGCAGAAAAAACTCTTTGGTGTTATTTGATAATAGAATGGGCACCAACGTATTTATTTTTAGAATGACATAATCGCACAAACGATACAATTAAGATCACAAAAAGATTTTACTCTTATTTTTTTCCCCTTAGGTTTTAAATTCAGAAATCATATAATTAATTCATCTAGGGCAGGGGTAGGCAACCTTGGCTCTTTTATGACTCGTGGACTTCAACTCCCAGAATTCCTGAGCCAGCATGGCTCAGCTTGGAAACCTCTCCCTTTCCCCTCAGCATGGCTGGCTCAGGAATTCTGGGAGTTGAAGTCTACGAGTCATAAAAGAGCCAAGGTTGCCTACTACTGATCTAGGCTTAGGTGAATAAGTTAAATACTAGTATAAAATCTTTAAATTATAAATACATGAACTATTGAATAAGCACATCATTGGAAAATATTAGAAAGAAAAGAAAATGCAGCAATAGAAATAGTAAAAGAAAATAAGGTAATATTTTTCAAAGTATTCAAAAACAGCAGCTCCCTTACTTTATGCCTCAGTTCCTAAAGATGCCGAAGTACACAAAATTAAGAAAATCTGATCAGAAAAAAGATGTCTTGTGCTCTCAAAGTAGAGAGTCAAATCAAATTTATGAAGCAGAGACCAATCCTTATTAAGAGAAATTCCCTATTTTACTTATTTAGTTGTCTCCATTCTAACATGGCTAAGTGTAATACAATAATTTTTAACAGACTTCTAAAGAATTAAGAGGAAAATTTGCTTTGAGAGGATCATTTTGTGTGGGGAAAATGCTACTTTTCATTCCTTCAAGATACCACAACTGTCTTAAATATGTATTTATAGACCGAATATGTTTTTTTTGTGGGCTAGTAAATTCTGTCTTATTGGTAAAAATGATGTTAGTCTTCATTAGAAGAAAAGAGAGCTAATCCAATCACCATTTAATGTTGCTTGTTATAAAATCTGCCTAGCTAAGAAACTTTCTATAGCAAATAAATGAAGCCAGGAATCCCGTAACTGCTCACATTTAAGAATTTCTCTTTCACAAAATTAAAATCTAACTAGTAAACAATTGCAATGTATGGCTGTGAAAGTTGGACCATAAGAAAGGCTGAGCACCAAAGAATTGAGGCCTTTGAAACTGTGGTGCTGGAGAAGACTCCTGTGAGTCCCCTGGACTGCAAGGCGGTCAAACCGGTCGGTCCTAGAGGAGACCAACCCCGACTGCTCTTTAGAAGGCCAGATCCTGAAGTTGAAACTCAAGTACTTTGGCCACCTAATGAGAAGGAAGGACTCACTGGAGAAGAGCCTAATGCTGGGAGAGATTGAGGGCAATAGAAGAAGGGGACGACAGAGAATGAGGTGGCTGGATGGAGTCACTGAAGCAGGAGGCGTGAGCTTAAATGGACTCCAGAAGATGGTAGAGGACAGGAAGGCCTGGAGGAACGTTGTCCATGGGGTTGCGATGGGTTGGACATGGCTTCGTAACTAACAACAACAACAAGTAAACAATCTTTTATTTTATTTATACAGGTAGTCCTCAACTTATGACAACTGAGCCTGGAATTTTAGTCATTAAGAGAGATGCCCATGTGACTGTCTCACTCAACAACCACAATTTCAATTCTCCCCACTGCGGTCATTAAGCGACTCATAACTTTTAAGACAGTGGGGGAGGCCTTGGGAGGCCTGGCATTCACCAGCATTCAGAAATCTGCTGTGGGTCAGGAGGCCTTGGCTGACTAGGCCCACTACTGTGGGCGCCTTCTCCCTGACCTACCACTTTCAAGAGGCCCAGGCCTTCTTCTTGTTGCGCCACACCTGGGACATTTTCTCAAGGCTGGCCAGGAAAAGGAACTTTGTTGGACAGAAAGCTAGTGAAGGCCAACTTCTTCAAGGCTAGAGAGGCTCTTTGAAGTCTTGAGAAATGTTGCCTCTCTAGCCTTGAGGAAGATGGCCTTCACTAGCTTTCTAGCTGCATCTCGCATTGCCTGGGCATGCCCGTCAGCAGCTGCAGGCAAAGGGAAATGGACTCAGGTGGGGTGGGGTAGGGAGAAGACCCAGGCTTCTCAGGAGTGGTGGATCAGAAGAAGACTCACATGCTAGTGGACCTAGTCAGTTGAGGCCTCCTGACCCATTCTGGAGCGAGATGCAATGCTCCACTGATTGTAAGGGTGGGCATGCTGTCAAGTGCCCA